GTATAAATAAGTATTTATATTTGTGTACAAGCTGTTTAGATTGTCAAAAAGCCTGTGTTTTTAGGGTTATTAACGAAGTTTGTGTACTCAGACCAGTACTCAATATTTGGGGTCACAAGTTTTTGCCATGGTTATTTTGTGGGTCAGAAGATAAAAAGTTTGGGAACCACTGGTCTACGGGACTGTCCAGCAATATGACGCTTAAAACAACAAGAGAGCAGGACGACAGAGAACGGTAAGCTAGCTGTGGCTAACGTTAGCTTCTTGTTGATTTTAACTGTGTGAAAGAAAAAAGTTTCACTACAAATAATTAACTAGAAGTTAATCTCATCTGTGTGACGTGACCCGGTCAGTGAACCAATCAAATGAACAGTAACTGACATCATATCATACCGAGCGGTCCAGCACAGATAGAACCAGAGGGAATGTAAACAAACACAGTTCCAGAACTCATTTGTACTCACGTCTTTCAGGGATATTTTATTATGTTTATAATTAGTTTTTGAGTTAATCTTCATCTTAAAATATTACCCTGTGTTTAAATAGTTCTTTCATCTTCAGGGTGGATTGTTTTACTTATTTTATTCTTTTTTTTTCAACTACCAACCTAACAGATTCCTGTTTTGTTATATGTTATAAATATGCCCAAGTTTGATCATGTGAGAGAAATCCACCTTTCTCTGTTCATTGTCACTGTTTACTCACACAGCTGGCACAAAGAACTGTTAAAATACTATACTTTCTTTAATTTAGTGTGTAAAAAATTAGCCCTTAATGTTATAGAAAGACCCTTGATTCAAGAGAAATCTCAGGTTTTTAAGAAAATGGCTGCTTATTTAATTGTTAGTCGATCGATAAGATCAATTAACTTTAGATTATTTCATTAATCGATAACTTACATACCTACTTTGCATAATAACTTTCAGTTTTGCGTAACACACCACCTTTAATATATCGTAAGTAGTGAAGTTTGTGGAGAGGATGAGCTGGGCGTTCAGTCCGACTGCTTTATGCATCCAGTAAGCAGCTCTCTGAAGCCACACCCAGTCTGAAGTGCCTGAGGAATACACTCCAACAACACTGAGAGCTACACATATGGATTTTCTGTTGGACTGAAAAGACCTGCATGACCATATCCTCTTAATCTTTGCATATTTGTTTACCAGCTTTACTAAAGGATGTGCACCACTCAAAACTGGTTTCATGCTGCATTTGTTTCTAATTATGCTTACATTTTTAATTCGATATACTTAACAAGCTCCTTCTTGATCTAAATATAAAAGTAGTGAACATGTAAATATATACATGCAAGTAGGGCTGTGTATTGGCAAGAATTTGGCGATACGATACATATCATGACAGAGGGGTCACGATACGATATATCCCGATATATTGCGATACTATAAGCAAGGTGATATATTGCGATTTTTTTGTCCAAAAATTATATTAAATAAAAACCTCTTACAGTAGAAAAAAATGAAAAACCAAAATTCATTGTCAGAAAATTCTAATATTACAGAGACATACTTTTGATACATTTAGCTGTGTTCTGCTTTGTATGCATTTTATTTTATTTGTTTCATATTTCTTATTTCATCCATGATTTCAATTATTAGACTAAATTTGACAATAAATAGTTTGAAAATATATTTTTGCAGCTTTTAGTTTTTAATATTAATTTACAATATGGTCACCCAACACTTAACAATAGCCTCTACCTCAAGAGGTAGAGGAGCCAAATGTCTGGCTCACTGCTGCCAACTAGTGGTCAGAGGCTGAACTACAACATAAAAATGAACGGCTGGCAGGAAAGTTGACATTTTAAACCTTAATAAAAAATCAATACAGGGCTTTAGAATATCGATACAGTATCGGGAAATGAAATATCGCGATATTTCAGTGTATCGATATTTTCTTACACCCCTACATGCAAGAGGTTAATAGCTCTATAAAAAATTTATTCAATTATTTTGTTTTTAATTTTCTTAACATTTACAATGTGTTAATGTTTTTTTTCCCCAAATATTTCAGATTAAAAAGAACATGCACTTTTTTCTATTAAAAGGTGCTTAAAAATTTCCCTGCAAGTTGTTTATTCATTAAACACATTTTATGGTGCGTTCACACCAAACGCGATTTCAGCGTCAGGAGCAGCAGGTTTACATGCAAAGTCTATGGTGGAGGCGCTTCAAGCAACGTCGGGAAGTTCTGCGGCGCCTCAAGCGCGATTAGAGCAGCGCGATTTGAACGATCTGAGCGTCGAACGCTCAGATCGTCCAAATCGCTGAAGTGGGGAAATCTGAACTTTTGCAGCTCGACGCGCAGCGTCAACCAATCAGAGAGACTCCACTGTGTGACGTAGCGACATATTTCCCGACGGGACAGTTTACTGAATGATGTCCACTAACCTGAAACAGACGGAGCTCCTGCTCTTTAGCTGAAATGAGTGCTGCAGTCGTGTCCTGATCCGCAGCAATGCGTGACAGCGACTCATCAGACTGAAAAAAATAGTCCTGAAAGCAGCTGTGAGCCTCTTCTCTGAATTATCTGGTGAATTAATTATGAATTAATTATCTGATGAACGTGACACGTTCTGGCTGTCTGTAAATAAAGCAAAGCCACTTCCTCGTCCGACATTAAACGGAGCCCGACAGAGGAGGGAGGGGCGGGGCGGCTGTCGCCGTGCGGCGCTTCAACAACTGTCCTGCGTCTGACCTCAAAGTGCACAAGCTTCAGACTTCAGCGTTGGCTGCGATTTTGAAGCTGAAATCGCGTTCGGTGTGAACGCACCATTATTGCTTTTTTAAAATCTGTTTCATCTGAGCACATAAACAGTCCTTCCTTAACAGACCACAAGAACTGTTTATTTTTTATAGTAAAATTAGTTACATACAGCAAAAATGTCTAGTAAAATCGCATCTCACTTTATGTTTTCATGTCGATGACTCACTAAAGTTTTAAGCTGCTTGCTAGCTTGCTCCGGTCTATATGAATATATGACTTTTCAGTTGTCACATTTTCAGACCACTGTAGTCACTTCTGTGCAAACAAAAACTGACAGAACAGTTGTTAAAATACATTATTCTACAATAAACTAAACTTTGTGCTTAGTGTCAAATGTGGTAAATTCTGGTTGCTTGCAGCGAACTTCTTTGTTTTAAGTCTCTGTAATGTGACCCCAAACCCCCCATGACACAATACAGCCTCTTTATCATTAGCAAGGTCATAGAGCAAAATGCTTCTTATAAGATGATGCCAAAGGGGGAGAAATAAGTCATTTGTAAACATTTTAACCATTAAATTTATTACAGGTATTAATTTAAGGACTGGATGTTTATAAAGCACTAAAATAATGAAGTGCACATCTTGAATGTATGAAAAGGGTAGGTATAACAGGTCCAACCCACTTTGTCACAATCTTTGCTCTCTGTAAAACATGCACTGTGGGAAACGAAGACAGAAGAACCTACCTGGGCTCTCCACTCTCTTGTAGTGATAGGGGTTGATGCAGACCTCCTTCTGTTTGGAGCCGAACGGATACTCGCACACCTCCAGAGGTTTGAGCTCATGGTGGGACTGAAGGTCAGGCCAGCGCCACACCCTGCAGTATATCACATGAGGTAGACCTTTCCTATGGGACACCTGGAGTCGACCGTCCAGTGATCTGGGAATAGTAACACACTTGCTGGGCTGTCCAGGACAGCTCAGGGCTTTTTCCAGGTCTTCCATGGCACCCTTCTTCTTCTTTAGCTTTTTCACAAGAGCATCCACTGCCTTTTCAGCCCATTTCTCTTCCTCATCTCCTTGCTTCCAACCGAGTAGACGTTTGACTGCCGGACTTGTAAAGGAGAAAAGACTTGACATGGAGGTCATGTTGAAAGTCTTTATCTGTGACAGATAAACAGTCCAGGTCTTCAGAAGTGTTTACACCACCTGCTGAGTTTTTCCAAACAGCAGTAGTACCCTGAAAGAATCTAAGTGTGTGTTTGACAAATCAAGCAGCTTGCGAGTGTCAACCCAACTGTGCTGAAAGACCAACAAAAATCAGGGGTGGGGTAAAGGGAGAGGAGGCTTCAGCTTTGTCTGACCACGGACAGGAAACAAGGGAGGAACAGGAGTCAGAAAGCAGGACGCAGCTGCTGGTCAGGAAGGGCTTCTCTGAGCAAGCTGTCCGGGGTAGGGTCAGCAGCAAGGATGGAGTGAGAAGCACAGATCACAACGTGGTGGTAGGGTTCAAAAATACAAGCTTGAAAGACATCTCAGAAGGTGATCATTTCTCAACAACCTGCAGCTCCTTTCAAGGCCAACTTCTTCACACACTGTTCTGAACTGCCCAGGTCCTACAAAACAAAAGAAGAAAACTAAATCAGACACATTGATTTGTTCGAAGTCACTTAAACAACACTGAAAACACTATTCAGGACTCAAAACGTTCATTCAAATCTGACATATCAGTGTAGCATGTGGGAAGCCCTGATCTCCATCGACCGGCTAATCAAGAGGCTCTTTGTGCTTTTTCTGTATCTGACATCATCTTCACAGGACTTTCAAACTTGCTGAGACCTGTATGATACAGTTATTCAATAAAGTTTTTTTAAGTTAGTTGGTCATGCATGATGTGAAAAAGCAAACATGACAAATGTGTGAGGAAAAGCTTAAAAGGGCGGCATGTTGTCCTGCCTTTAAGCACTGATAAGATATAAAAACATGAGACAAAATACTCAACCATCTAAACCAGTGTTTCCCCTACCATTATACAGCCCCCCCACCCCAATGAGACGGCCCGCCCCTCTAAGAATTTCACGGCATGTAGTCATTTTTATTTAAATAAGACCAGATCAAGTCCAGAGCTATTTTTTGCGCCCCTCCATGTCCACCTCACCAAACTTGGGGGAAAAGACGGCGCAGAGCGAGGCTGAGCGCTGTGTGTGGTCCTCACAAAGATAGGAAGACGTGTGTGTGATTAGACGCACAGCTCTGCTTTTAATCACGTAGCACCGATGCGACAGCTTTGCAAGCTACTTTTTCTTTCTTTAAAAGAAAATGCGACAGGTGAAGCCACAGCATGGTTACTACCTTATCAATAATTACTGCCTTTTTTTCTTTCTCTGGGGGTGGGGGGTCAGCTTCACTCAGCTGCAGGTGAACACCTCCCGGGAACGCACACTTTTCCTGGACTATTTTCCACCAAGTCGTATTTTATATTTATTATATTTCTAAAAGCACTTTGCAGCATTTCCCCCTGTGAGTTCACACCATGAGCGCAACAAAGCCGCGACGGATCAGCTGACTGTTTTTAAAGCGAGGTGCAGCGAACCTGTCCACCTGCAGCTCGGCTTCGACCAGCCCAGCCCGGGACTTAAAGTTCATACATCATGTCAACCCCTTCAGACGTTTAACGTGTATAATGAGCGTAAAAAAATTTGTAATTTGAGCAAAAAATCAGTATTAATCACGCAGGTGGGGTGGAGGTGCGCTGACCGCAGCTGCACGGGGATGAGGAGGAGGGTCTTTTAAAGACGTGTCTACATTTGACTTTTATTTTTCTAAAATCACAGAGTTCTCTGAGTCAGCTTCAGATGTTTGTAGTTAATCATAACATCTTCTAAATTTAACCAGGTGTTTCAATGCCTTTAAATTACACAATAATTTTACTGGAGAAACTTGTTAGTTTGGTTAAAAAAAATAAAAAAAACAGTAAAAATATATACATTTTTTTCTGTGCAGAGAACTTCCTCTGCTATAACTTATTTAAAATAAATATATCAAAGCTCCTCAGTTGAAAACACAAATTATAGAAAAGATGTTTAATTCCTCAGAAAGTCTTCAGTCCTAAGAACACTAAAGTGTAACTTTAATAAGTATACCTATTTAAAAGAAAATGTTTGACCTTTAAGCAGAAAGCTTATGGATGTTGGTTTTTGCTCTCTATTTCAAAGAAGAGGATGAGGAGGAGAACGAGGAAGTTCTCCTCAAGCAGCTCCTAAAACTGTCAACCTGCTGACTGACAACATTTGTATATATTACACGTTGTATACAGGACAATATAGCCTACTTATTAAATTATATTTTTATTGAGATATTTTTGGACAACCAAAATGTTTTGAGGACAACCAGATTTTGTCAAACCCCCACATGAGAGGTCACCACCACGGTTAAAAAAATCCTGGGAGAAACTCTGCTGAGTTAAAGTTCTTCTAGTTCTAATAATTATTAGAAAGGACATGATTTGAGGTTTTTACTGATAATATTTTATTCAAAACATGTTACAGAAGTCATAAGAAGCAGGTTTATTTTGAACAAATGTTACAAACGTGTTCATGTACAAGTCTTAACCACTAAGTTGAAACAGAAATTATAAGTTTATTCAAAAATTAGATCCAATCTGACATCTTCTGTTTCAAATATCTATCTTCATGCCATTATACTCTCAACCATGTCGTACTGTTTACCTGTTTGGTCTCTTACAACAAATGAATTTGAATGAAGTTTTTGCAAATCTGAATCAGAAACTATTGAAATTCAGCGTATTTTGTAAATATATTTGACAGTTTTGTAGAAATTAACACATTTGTAATTTTCAACATGTTTTTTTTATTGAATACCAACTAATATTTTTTAAATAAACTACAAAATCTTCAAATCACATCCTTTTTGTACTATTCATTATCTTTGTACAACCTCAGAAGAACTCCAATCCATGTAAAATATCAGTAATGTAATAAAAAATAAAACTATAAGAGACTTTTTTTTGCTGCTCTGGGGGGTAAAGCTTTAATATCGGTGTCCTAAAGCAGTGTTTCCCAAAGTGGGGTCCTGAAACATCAAGGTGGGGTCCTGAAAAGATTTTCTGAATTAATTACATTTTTGCCTTAGTTGTTACAAAGTAGTGAGGTTAGTGTATTTAAAATGGATAAATGTAGTATAAAAATATTGTTACTATGTTCATGTTTAGTTGACCTGATACAAATGTTTATCATCAAAAAATAGTTGTGGGCACAGGTCTCTGCTGCTGTTATTTTGTGGGTCAAAAGCTGAACAGTTTGGGAACCACTGCACTTTGGTTCCCAAAGTTGGGCTTGGGACCCAATTATGGGTCATGAAGCACCTTGGATAATCTCCAGAAATCAATTTAAAGGGTAATAAAATAATTGCTGATGTAATGTTTCCCTATAACTATTACAAAAACACAAAATAAGTATAAATAAGTATTTATATTAGTGTATAAGCTGTTTAAATTGTCAAAAAGCCTGTGTTTTTAGGGTTATTAACAAAGTTTGTGTACTCAGACCAGTAATATTTGGGGTCACAAGTTTTTGCCATGGATATTTTGTGGGTCAGAAGATAAAAAGTTTGGGAACCACTGGTCTAAAGGGTTAATGTTCAGGGGAGGGAGGGGCTAGTTCTGTGAGTGGAGAGAGGAGAGCCCCGCTGCCTGCAGCCGGCTGGGACAGAGCGACGAAGGAGTGTTTTTCTGTGGGTCCAGCGAGTTGCAACTGCCACTTTTTTAACATATTGTTGAACTCTAAAGTTTTTTGATGACTATGACTGCATTTTTGCACGCCGAGAGTCATTAGGATAGGTTTTTAGCTTTACTAATTTAGTACATGCTCCGTGGGTTGACGTCCGCTCTGAGTAAACAAACGAAGCTTAACCTGGCGGGGAGGCATGTAAAGCCTGGCAGCCCACCAGGCTTATAATGCACTGTGGGAAACCCTGAAATGATAGTGTGAAAGAAAACTATCAACGTTTCATTTAGAGTTGGTGGTGTTGAGATCTGTAGAGTCAGTGAGGTGAAGTTTTTGGGTGAACTATTGATGAAAAACTGGCATGGAAACCTCATATAAATCAAGAGCAAAAATAGCTAAATCCACTGCAGGACTGTACAAATAGGGTTGGGCATCGAGTCTCGAGTGTCGACTGGAACCGGGAACAATTTTTCAATTCTCCCGGAATTGTTCAGACATTTAAATTTCGATACCTAGTTTCAATACCCAGTCTGCCAACTGGAAGAAGAAGCTGCCCAACACCAACGAAGGAAAAAACCCAGGTGGGCCGCTGAACACCAATTTGAGTTGGTGTTCAGACTAGTGCTGGGCGGTATACCGTTTTGTACCGAAAATTGGTTTTTATTTTTGTTACGATATGACTTTTCTGAATACCGGTGTTAATAGCCTGAACATGTGCGGAACATTTCGTCGCGGCCGCCAGTGAACTGTTTCCCTGAGGACACGTTTCCTCGCAGCACCGCTAAGCGCGTTAGCATGCTAACGTTACTGTTGGAACAACTGGCAGTGGGTGGTGTGTTTCAGCCGCTTATATGGTCTGACGTAAAAAAAAAAACCATCCCGTTTTCACCATCGCTGAATAGTAAACACCTCTTCAGTGACGTGCACGGTTAAGATTTAACGCGCTACATTATAACGGACACGTTATTGCATGGAAACTCTAGCGAGCTTTTATTGTGAAAAGCCCGTGGAGAAGTAGATTTGTAATGTAGCGAAGCTGACTGGTGTGCAAAGTGAGTCATCCTTTTAAGTTTTATCTACACACAACGATAGGCCCGATCATGATCTTTTCTCAACCCTTCACGATCGGACCAAAATGCATGATTACTGTCTACAACCAGGCAAAGAAGAAAAGATGTACAAGAGGAGGGAAACAGTGATACAGAGGTACAGTAAAAGAAAAAAGTCAATAAGCAAAGTTTGTACATTTTATTATCAGCTGAGCTGTGAGGAAAAAAATATAGTCAAATACCGTGAAACCGGTGTAACTGTTGAAAATACCGTGATATAAAGTTTGGGTCATGTCGCCCAGTTCTAGTTCAGACTCAAATTGTAAAAATTAAGTGCAATAATCTGCTAGTACAGTAAGACAACTGCACTTAGTAAGACTTGAAATGAGGAAAACATTTCCAGGCTAACAAGATTAATAATCAAACACATTCTGCTCTTGCTTAGTATATCATCTCAAACCAAGATGAAAAATACTCTTTGGCTGAATATAAGTGTACGATTTGGTTAGATGGACAAGTTTTGCAGAGTACCCCTGTGTGAAAAATAAATTCATAACATCTGTTCATCCAGAAAGAACTCTAGCTACCTGATTTAAACCACGTAAACTTTTTGACCCTGCCTCTAAAAACAATCTAAACTGGGAATCATTGGGAACCGTGAAATCGAAAAGAGGAACTGGAATTGTTCAAATTCAAACGATGCCCAGCCCTATGTACAAAGTAAGGGAGATATTCAATGATAAAGCTCTGTTACATAATGCAGTAATTGTTCCACACTTAATTTATTGTATTGAAGTCTGAGGTAAAGCGTGTACAACAATTACAAATCCTATTTTTGTTTTACAGCAAAAGAGCTGTGAGAATTATCACTAGAAAGCATTACATTCATCCCATCAAATACTGTATATTATTTTATCAATTGAAGATATTGAAATTCTATGGTTTGGTTGATTATAGTATTTTATCAGTTAAGTATCAGGCTCATAAAAACACTTTAAACATCCAATTAAATTTTGTTAAAATAGAGTTGTTACAATATTAAGGGGATAGAGATGTCTGTAAAACATAAATTTCCAAACAGTTTGAAGCAGTTGTGTAACTTGTGTACTTCAATCCAAGGAATAAGATTTATAGAATAATCTGGAGCGTGATGTTAAAAATGTCAGGTCAACGTGTGTGTTTAATAGAGTTGGGTAAAATCATATCGTGTGCAATTAATCGTCATAAAAACTTTCATCGATTATTTAGAGCCACATGACATTTAATACGATTAATGCCACCAGATGCAACACTCCTCTCTGCTTCATATAAGAAAAACATTTTTTTAAAGTTCTGTAATTTATTTATCATAACTCAGGTTTTACTTACAGGTTTACGGTCTGTCGACACAATTTTAAAAAAGTAGTCTGTACTTTTGACACAGTTTGGAACAAATTTTTACGTAAAGCAAATATTTCACACTAGAGTGATTTAAATAAGTCATGTGACCAGGATCCAGGGACTCCAGGGTATTAATCGTTATCTGCTAAATACCACAATTAATTGTAATTAATTTTTTTGCCAATGCTGCCCAAACCTAGTGTTGAAGAGAATGATAAAAGTTGAAGAAATATGAAATATAATGTGGATCTATATAAAATGTTGCTTGAGGAGTTGAATTTTTTTCGGATTAGTTTTTTGCAGATTAATGTTGTTTGAATTATTTTTTTGGAAAAAATGGGCACATAAGATTTTTTTTCTTCTTCTTTCTGTTGCCTTTCATTTTATTTGTGATTTTATGTTTTATTGTGTACAGAATTTAACGTAGTTTTTTTTTAAAGAAATTACTAAACTTTATAAATAAAAATAGATACTTGACCCTAAACATAACCTAAACTCAATTTATACCTTAGTCCTAACCCTAACCCCTGACCCATCCCCAGTGGGGACTGGGCTTTTGTCCCCATAAGGAGCAGTGGGTTCCCCTCACCTGGGCGGTATGACCCAAACTTTATATCACGGTATTTAACAGTTACACCGGTTTCACAGTATTTGACGGTATTTTTTTTCCCTCACAGCTCAGCTGATAATAAAATGTACAAACTTTGCTTATTGACTTTTTTCTTTTACTGT